CGCATGCGATGTGCCTGCTTAGGCGGTGAGAACACTCGTGAGAGCTACAATTTTAGCTCCGCCTAGGAGGGCATCTTCGACCGAAGTGCCGCACTTCAGTGCCCATTCTTGCGTTCGACCACCGAGCTTAAAGATGGCTAGCGCCACGCGCTGTTGCTCGGTCTGGAGCATGGTGGATGCGATGGCCATCTCGATCTCTCTAATCCAGATCAGGAGATTCTCTCCAACCTTCCCCTCAAAGTCCTTAACGCTCACCATGAGCGGCTTAAGGGCGGGAAAAGTCATACGTTACTGGCGGTATCATAGACACAAATGAAGCAGACATCTTCTGCTGCAGGTGCTCTAGCAGTGGGTTTTCGCAATTCGAAAACGCCTTCTGACGCGCACCGATTGCCTCGGGGCTTTGCACAGCAAGGTGCTGCGTACCTCAAGGCCCAGCAAGGACATTAGCTTGTTAAGCCCGTCCTGCATGCCCTGGGGGCAAAAGAGGAAATTTGTTGCATCCTCACTCCTCACAGAGGATCAGTCTAAATGGCTTAGGTGTAGATTGAATACAAGTGCTACCAAGTGCAGCGGGGCTGCCGTAGCTTAGCGTTTTGAGGAAGCGTAATTTAGTCACCGACCCTTCGTTCTTTACCGGAACCAATACGAATGTAGCGGATCGCAATCCGCCACCTCCAATAGTAGTAAGTACCTTAACCAAGGCTAATTAATCTTCGGTTGATAATCAAAACTGATTTTTATTTTTTTATCTGCGGCTACCCCGCCTAATTTGAAATGTATAAATTTTCCTAAATATATATAGCACAATCCAAATACATGCATAACAACTGGCTATCCAGCCCGGTACCGTATTATTATTTGGGTGCAGTCAGACGATGCTTATCTCGTGTGACTCACACCCCTGTTACCAGGCTACGTGTAACTCCGTTACACGGCCGACCTGTAAAATTCCATTCCCTTTTCTACCCATTTACTCATCTGCCTTCTGTCGACATCTCCCCTCAACCCTCTCCCCCATACGAAGGTGAGCCCAAGCAAAGCATAATGCGACGACTTCTACACTCTTCCAGAGCATAACATCTAAATGTCTGGAGGGCACACGAATCCCCAGCCCTCGCTACCAAGCACCCCCCTTCGCTTACGTGAAAGACTAAACAACGTGATGTGTTAAGAAGTGAGTGACGAATGTGGAAGCGACATGTCCGACGAAGACGACCAACCGACCCAGTCAGCTACGGAGGTTGATTCCGACGCTATCGACTTCGAATGAGCGAAGACAGGCTTGGCCAAGAAAGAGAAGAATAAGATTTTTTCTGTCCCACCTTAATCACCACGATACAAGGCGCAATTTTCGCTGCGAGGCTCGATCTAGGCCAAAACCATTACGCTCTAACGAGCGACGCTGCCAAAGGGTGAAGGCCAAAGCGTTTCTTTTGAATTTCACTCGTCTTATGGGCTCTTAACGAACTATTAGAGATATTGAAAGCTACCCGCTTAAAGTACGAAGGCGCAGACTTCCATGTCGACCTGTACTTCATCCAGCACTTCCGCATGGTTCCCAAATATATGTAGAGATGAGTTCCTGCCAGCTTTTTTCTTAAGTCACAAAAAGCGATGGATTCAATACCTCAAGCCACCAAGTTGGTTATTATGGAAGATTGGAAGCCAATTTACCTGCTTCCCGTGTAATACAAATCATAAGTATGATCTCTCTGTTTGAAAGTATCAGCGGAAATTGATTCCGCAATATAGCCAATGTTTGACCGAAGGCACGAGGTCAGAGAAGAGAATAAAAGAGACGAGAAGTCCGTGCTGAAGGCGCAACATGCGATTTGAAGGCGCGGACGAGGGTCCAACGACCACGGTCAAGCGAGCTCTTGCTGCCAATCTTGCCTTGAGTAACTCTAGTCAAACTGATGTGTGGGCGCCCACACCACGACAATCGCCCCTGTCACGCTCTTCAAAAGAATCTCTGCGACAGCCAAGTGAAAGCTGTCATGGTGCTTCCCACGAATTCAAATTTAGGGAGTCAACCGCGTCTATAAATTGACACACAAAGGCAATCCAGTCGTGGGCACGGCAATCGTGGTAGTGACCGTGATGGTTGTGAAATCCAATCGAATATTGTAAAAGCAAAAATTAATTCAACAATGATCGCAGAGATCTCAACCAAGAAGCAGTAATATGATGCATGTTGCATTTGTATCAATTATAACTTTCGCACTCTGTCTGACCGTCCATGTTACTATCAGCCCGAATCCCACCTGGATGATCAATTAAGGACTTGCTTATCACGATTTGCACGAATCCCAACCATAAGGCACAACACTGTTATCTCACAGCAGGGAGATAAAAGCGCTTTTCAATCGAACTCACTGGCGAATTAACCGACTTCAAGAAGCACCACGTGAGCGTTTACCGTATATGATCTACCGTAAGCTTATGAGATAAAGTAGCCTTCCTCTAGTTCCGTCAGCTGTGGAATTCAGTTTTGCTTTAGCTTTAAACCAAAGCAATTCGCCGCGCCCATGGACCCATGCTGATCTGGACCAATTTCAGGCCAAACATAATCTGAATTGTGGCTGTAATTGTCACCACAGGCAATGAACGCTCATACCTTAACCCAAAAGATTTGAGTATTCTAACGCTCGCATTGCATGAACTATCTAGCAGACAAGCCATCAGAGCTTTGACAAGTATCCATCTGTTGAAGTCAAGGACAGCAATTCTTCACTGCGTGCACAATAACAAAATCCTACCGCTCTATTGAAGCGCATGTCTCGTCTACCAAAGAGTCAAGCTCAGACTGACGATTATCTGTTGCTATAATAGAAAGGTCTAAGCTAAAATCGCTACGTAATCACCTTTTTAGATCGTAACGGCCAAGCGCAAAATGAAACTTTGAATAACTAGACTGCGATCCGCATATTGTACGATCACAATACTAATGCGTGTAGCATGCCTACTTCAATTCAAGGTATATATATGCATGCTACATGCATTTGTATTAAAATTACTGCGAATACTTCTCCTTATTGGCGTTTCCAAAATGTGGCATATATGTATACATTATATGCAATGCAAACCTTCATAGTACTTACCAGAACATTTTTTATAAGTTTCTTACCGGTAGCTATAGCAACATTTTGACGAGATGTCCATGATCAGTTTACACGTTGCTCCGTAGGAAATTCTGAAACCTTAATTTCAAAATTGGGTCGTAAACAACGCTGTATGAAAGGGTTAAATTCGTTCGATGTTTGTCGACCATTGAATGATGCAGGGAGGTTGTCAAAAGCATATTCTCCCTATCGTGGTTCATTTGGATAACTCAGACCGTAATTTTATCGGCAGTAATTGATCTTTTTAGCTACATTTCCTCCTTGTTACTCGAGTGTCTTCTGTTCACGTCTGGTTTGAGCTGCTCCTTCCCACGAAGCGCGTCATGTAATTACGTTAGGCGTGTTAAATATAGTGGACAGTATAACGAGGCATAAAAGATATATTAAAAAATTGTAAGTCGCTACATTGATATTTCTTTCGAGTCCTCCTCTAAGGGCTGAAGAACTAGCAGCATGAGAAGGTGCTTGGTTTTCAGACCTGTATTCAAGATTCAGTTTCATCCTGTGTATTGTGTGGCTGGAACCGGGAGCAAAAAATATTGAGTGTCATCATGACTCTGGTATAGAAGCGCTTTTATCGCGGGTATGAAGCATCGATTGCTTAAATCGATCCGTTATCACACTACACAAGCAACAGTGAGCCGCGGTCTCCAGACTGCATATTTAAAAATGATGAAGACAGATCTGGCTCTATAAGCAAAACAATATTCTTCTCACATGTGGTGGTACTGCTGAGTCAGAACTGCCATGTGATGTGTCTATCGTGCTGAGCTGCGAGGACTCACGGCTTAGTAGCAAGAGATTTTAATGACTCGTGAATTGAGCTTCTGAGTATTTTTGTAAAATTTTCGCTATTACGACAGGTTGAAGTCCTCTGCGAGCTTGAAGAGCTAGACTGAAAAATGTGTACAGCGAAATATAAAACGGCTAAGTCAGCAGATTGGATTGGTTATTCCCAAATCAGGAGATGAGCTCACCATTTGTCATAACTGAGATTGATTTTGAGGACTATCACAGAGTGCTGGATGTGAGGGGCGAAGCGGCTATTCTAAAGGAACACTTAGCTTGTAACGGGATTACACATAGTAGCAGGGGTGTGTGCCACACCAGATGAGCATGGTATGGCCACACCCAAACAAGATACGGTACGGGGCTGGATAGCCAGTAGTAATACATGTATTTAAATTTTACTATACATATTTAGGAAAATCTGTGAATTTAAAACTAGGCGGCTTTGCCGCAGATAAAAGTAAAAACAGTCAGTTTTAAATTTAAACCGAAGAGTTTATCAGCCTTGGGTTAAGGCTAATTTTACTGAGAGTAAGCGGACTGCGAATCGCTGAATTCGTGCTTGTGTTGAGTATAGAACGAGAGGTCGGTGAAAGCGCAAAGCTACGGCAGCGCTGGATAATTTCCTTCATATTATTAACGGAACATAATGTGGTATCAAGAGGCCCAAGTTGCGTGTTGAGCCAGAATGATCAAATGAGATATTTCCGAGATAGAAATACTTTGTAATGCAAAAATGGTTTTATCCAAAAAAGTCATATATGCTTTCTTTCGCTTAGCACGAAGCAAATTTGGAGACACATTAGATATTCTCTTTTTGCCTCGACTTTCTGCGCCAAAAATCTTATGGCAAAGGACAAATGATGCATTAATTTGAAAGATCAATGCAGCTACAATTTCGGTGCAAAGCTGATCATTAATAGAATAAATGAAATGCAGCATGATTGTAGAACTCTGTTCAGCGCTCTTGATCCATTGATCGGTCGTTATTACCGTCCGTGCGACATCGATATCCCATTCAAAGCGATTAGCTTTTCGAGATGGATACTTTAGGAATGACTGGTAAATCCCAATGGACTTTCTGAAGCGCCAGTGACGTTAAATCCTTCGATAACGCAGCAATTTGCGTCATATCGCGTAAAACAAACCCATTCCCACGAATGGCTCATCCATGATCTTGTAGAGTGCAGAGAATCAAACATTGACAATAACATCGAGCACGTGCCTCCGATTCTTAAGACTATACGTTTAAACAAGCTATTTGTTAATGTGTATCTGTCCTTTTTAAAATTTATAAAATGATATACTTCAGTGGAAGGCATGGTTCCCGGTAGATCACACGAAGTTGACGGATTCGATGGCTTTTTAATGCATCTGTCATATAGATTTAGAGTGTAGTTTGGCCAGGTATATTGTACAACTTATACCGATATTGCATAGCCCATTCCAATCGATTTAAACAAGGTGTCAAATGGAGCGGAAAAGCGATGATAGAGGTGATCTTCGAGACTGTGTATGATGGTCTTGTGCATATCTGATTCTGGCGCGTTTGAATCTGGGTCAGAAATTCCATGCCGTCTGTGTCGCTTCAGCCTTTGCCATAAGCTGTTCTATAGTCTATGCACAGATGAAAATGGATATGAACGTTTAAATGAGTTTATGTCTCGCTAGCTAAACGTGGCGGAGAAGAATCGAGAACTTCTTGTTCAAGATAAAAAGCTATTTGCTTTTGAATATAGTCTTGTCAAAGCCGCAAATTACCTACCTGTAAATAAGGATCGTATGATCTGCAGAGATCATGCGTCGTTGTACGCAGCATCGTTGTTGGCACATCCCTTGAGAAGATTTACATCAAGATTTTCCTTCTTCACTGAGTACACCTCCAAGGTAAGGTGCACTCCGGGTTGACTTGATGATGTTTAGATGCACTTCCGTGTTGCCCAGACTTCATGTTTCGTGTTTGGACGAGGCAATATGTACAGCGTCAATATTGATCTGATGTGGGTTGCATTGCTAAGGGCTCCGGTAAGCAGGGGCTCCAAATTTTAGTGCAGAATGATCAGAGAGTATATTTGCACGTTTCCAACACCATCTCACATCATAAAACTTAATATATTACAGCACTGATCTAACGTGTGGTACGTGATCGTGCTTATTTATGCGCAAATGCACGAGCCAAAACATATTGTACAGACTCATAGTACACTTGCCTCACGCATTGAGTAAGGCAGGGTACCATTCTATCTGCTGCGGGGCTGCCGTAGCTCTTTGCTTAGAGTAAGATAAGCTAAGGTCACCGACCTTCAGTGGCAGTGCGAGTGTAGCGGATCGCAATCTGCTACAATTTAAAACCTTAACCAAGACAAAGACGCTCTTCCAATCAAAACGTACATTGTATTTTCTTGTTTTATTTGCGGCAGAGCAGCCGACATTTAAAATTTTCCTAATTAAATAGCCTAATTAATTACTGGCAGTCCCGCCACGTAGTGGCTTCTTGTTACGGTATAGCGACACCACTGTGCAATTACACCGCTTTGTGTAATCCACATCTTTGAACAGTCACACCATGTTGTTTGTTCCACCCTTTCATACCAGGGTACGTCTAACCCCGTTAAAATCTTTCTGTCATATATTCATACAAATACGCTTCGGCGAACCAGTCCAAAGGCCGGAACATTGTTGATGGCTTGACTTTGCAAAGTAAACTGGATGTTGCCACCAAAAGCAACTGCTGTTTGCAGCCTTTTTCCCATGTGTCTATGAGGCAGCTAGAACCTTTCACTTTGCCAAATACTGATTACGACTCTTAAAATATTATAGGTCTACTATTCGCCTTTCATGGAGTGGAGCATTCTTGCTCAACGGCTGGCATTAGACAGACTCTCACGAGGTTTCATGATCTTGCAACACGTACACGCGTAAATGTTTTCGTGTGTGACTGATACTGAGATACGTTATTTTTGGATGCGCTGTGAAGGCCATACTATCGCGCGGATTGGCTTGATAAACCCGTGAAGTTCACAGTCGTATCGCTAAGTCAAATCATATCAAAAGACCACCAGCAAACCAAAGCTATGTTATGGCGCTCTTACGGAGCACGAAACTTAGCTGAATCAAAATACCAAATCGTGTAAAGATCTAGAGGCATGGATCAAATAATTTTGCAAACCGAATTCGCTTTAGCACTGCGGCCTCTTCACGCAGGAGATTCGAGGGATAGGATCGGCTGCGTGAAAAAAAACGCTCCGTCTGGTTAGCCCTGAATTTGTTGACCTGTTGCCCAATACCTTAGATAAGTGCCAAAGGTTGCTACATTGCGCGGATCCAGACTTGAAATATGTGGCCGACGACAAGCTAGGTCGGCGAAATTCTTAATCGTAGAGCAGCTTGGCTATATCCGCATTGGTAACAATATTCGGAATCAATGAGAAGAGCCAAAGTACCCGAAGGCTTACAAATACTACGATACCGGTATCGCCGAATTTATCGTTTGACCAAACAAAATAATATTCGAACCAACGGACTGCAAACGTTTTGCCGGGACCGGTAGACCAGCCAAGGAGCTGAACATTGCGGCAACAGTTTGACTCATTGGTATCCACGAGTAAGACTTTAACATTTATAGATATTGGGCTACCAGCCAAAGCGTCCATTGGGCCACCTTTGTTCCAGGCGGTCACCCAATCGTGTATCTCTTACAGTTTTCAAAATACGAGTGCTTTGTCATAAAACATTTTTTAATTATCTATAAGAATAACCGCACGCTGAATGCAATGCTTTATTCAGCAAACATTGATGTCCGAAATAACGAAACAATCCGGCCTCGTTATAGCGGCATAAAAAAATTATATTTTTATTTTTCCCCGCTCAATACGTATTGCGTCCGACCCGTACGATGTACTTACTGCCTAATCAAACACGACGTCACAACCATAGTGAGCAGCTTATACCTTAATTCACAGAAAAATTCGGCAAAGATGGATGATCAGTTTGTCATTCTGTGTCAAAGATATGGTAGCGACGTCGCAGTGCGCAACTCATGCTCTTTATATATTACAAACGGATCGAAGCCAAGCTGGTACACTTTGAAATTGACGGAGGCATACTACGCTGCAGGTAGCTACTTATCACGATCACGTTGAATCTTCCTGACACTTGGGTAGCAAATTTGGACACGGTCACGCCTTCATTTATCATAGCATCTGTTTGGAGTAAATCATAGCAGATTTCAAACGCTAAAGCGCCATAGCTTACGTGGAATGGTCTATATGACTTTGAAATACCAAAAAGCATGCAAGAGGTAGCTTCAAAAGCCGCTTATGAAGCCGTATTCAGCATCCTTTTGAATTCATTGGTGATGGACCGTGCCATGTCTGCAAAATTTGCAGTGCACTAGTGCAAGTAATTGGTAAACGCAACTTTGTATTAAACAGAGGCGCTGACCGATCTATATTAGCCTTGAAGTATTCACGGGATCTGTCAGCAGACAATCATTTCCAATGAAGCAGCCTAGAAAGTGCATTTTGTCAGTGCCAAAGACACACTTGTTCAGTCAGGCAAACAGCATAATTCCTGTATACGCCCGCAAGGTTTAAATAAGGATTTCCAAACTTGACTTCGTGAGCTCTGCGTGGCTCGGGACAAACTTTGTTTGTGCTCAGGCATTATATGTTATTAACCATTGCCTCTCTAGACGGCCGAGCGTTGCTAGTACGTACGATAGTCGCTGTGGCATAACTAGCCATCCTGCTTGAAGTACGTCCCGCAGTAAGGGTGGTAGCGCTGTCTCTGATGAGCAGATGATAAAATCATCGTTGACTAGATCGAGTCATCAATAAGGGCTCTGAGCAGGGCAAAACCGACTATGCTGTCCTGCAGTGGTAATCGATTTTTGCTGGGGTAGTGGCTGCATTTTTTTTGCTTGGTAATGCACATTTTGCTATTATCTGTTCCATTTCTGACTCACAAGTATGGATCTAACTATCGCTTAAGGATTCGGCATTCGTGCTTCACGCGGATACAACCGACTAACAACATACTGTTCGCTAGATAGATGTCGTTAGCTTGTGAAGTTAAAGGAGATCTAATTTATGTCTCACCCCTTGATCTATAGTAATATGCATATTCGGTCTCTTTACGCTAGTACATGACATCACTTTATTTAGATGCGTAAAACAACATACTCGTTGCAGCAAGCCGTGCAATATTTCGCAAACAAAGCTCTACGAGTCTCTTCAATAAATAAGTCACGCATGACACATGATCAGTTCTAGAAGCCAACCGTACCGACTTGGTGAATTTATTGTCCTGCAACGATTTCAAACTTCCCGCCAACTTGGCCACGCTTATTGAATACTTCTGCCGCAAAAAGCTAGCGATCTACCCTGGTTTATCCATTTTCGAGCAAGTAACATTTCTCATCATCATCTCTTGGATCTTCATAGCTCCACATTGCAAGTGGGGTACACGGAAATGCAGACTCAACAAGACGGCTGCATCTTGGCCCTTCTATTTTCTGACTGACAGTCGTCATTCTCCACCGGCCATGGCACAGGAGACTGCAGCGCACAACTTTTTATTCTTGTGTCCACCTGCTCTGGCACGAAGAGCGTGACACATAGCTGCTTGTATTTGTCTTAGCTATCTCTTGCATAGAAAGGTTTGCTAAAAGTGGCAAGCAAACTTTCCATCATTTCACAATTGCGACTACAAGATTATGTCACTCATTCTTGTGTATATCCTGGAGACCGCGATATATGACTTCTACTATTGATCTCATCTAGAGACCGCATCTATCTCCCGGACCCAGCTCAGGCCACACGGTAGTTTGATTGTCGAGTACAATGTGGTAAGGGATTTTATTCAGGACGAAGATTGCTGGTGGTTAAGAAGAAAAATGTTGGCTCTAGTTCAGACCACCTTTAACAAAGGAGACTTATGCAAGGCATACTTTATCGCAGCGCTATACAATAAACTCGCCGCATTTTTTGACAGCACCGTTGAAATAAGTGCAGATAAAAGAAAGCGATGCTTTAGGCGATATCAGCAAGATCCATTTTACGCTTGTTATATAAATAGGTTTGCTTAGCCCAAAACAATGATCAAGTTTGGCGACATTGCGTTCCAGATGGGCGTGAAACCCTCCTGTCGGAAGCCCCACTTAATCATTGATGTATATCTGGCAATCACATTGCACACAGGTTAGTATTGCTACCGGAAGTAGCGTGAAGAAGGCAAGAAATTGTACATCTCAACTTATCAAACAATCGAGTAATAATTTACTAGGCTAATGAAAAAATGATTGCAAGCGAAAGTCTGAAAAATGATAGAACACCAGAAACAAGGATTGAACATGGGCTGTTCTTAGAGTGTAGAAAAGCTACGATGCATTCGCGACTGTTGTCATTGTAATGGGTTACACTTAGCCATTACATCAAGGTATCTATGAACCTACTGTATGCATTGTGGGAAATAATAAAAAAGAATATTACAGTATTGTGTTCCCTTGATGTATAAAGCATGAGCCAAAGATTGTATCAGTAATACCTCAAGGAGCACTTGGGGTGTTTTGCATGTAGCTAGGAACCATAACTCATTTAAAGTTAGTTGCAATTTACTTTGAAGGTCTTAAGTTGTTCTTCCCTCAAAGTCGGAACTGTCCTTTTCTCTCCACGACGAAAAGCGCTTCCTCGTCGCACAAATATGTTCGAGGAGCTGTTTGTAAACTGCGCCCTCTTACATCATTAAAGAAATCAGGCGCGCCCAGTGTGTGCTCACATAACCCGAAGTCTATCCGCCACAAACAGCAGTGCTATTTTTAAGCATGTAATTTGTCACCGTGGATTCTCTACAATCATCGTTGGCGATCAAGATATTAAATTCACATAATAAGTTAAAAGTCCTTATGCACAGAATGGACATCAAACATTTCACGGCACAAGCAATAGGGCACCAGTATCGCAGACGAAGGCTCGTCGCGTTGCCTAGCATGTTTTCTGATAGAAAGGCACTAGCTGACAAAATGTTAAAGCGAATCGATCAGTTCATTGATCACAAGTCTCAATGTCGCCGTACTGGATATTCTACATCTACTTCTGATGAATTCTCTGTCGTCTGCTCTCACTGAACATTCTGTTTAATTATTGTCTCGCTACTCACTTACCACCATCAGGCTTAGTTAGATTTATTGAAATGTTATCCATCATTTATGCGTTCATACCAGTAAAAGAGATACATACCGGTTTCTGGTATATCACTGCTACAGTAGACTCCCGCTTAAATACGCCAATTGATTCGGTACGGTTTGTGCGCACTTAACTGGTAGGTG